AGTAGCCTCTATGGGGGGGGATGAAAAATACAAAAGGGGCCAGCTATGTCCTCCTCCTGTCTTGAAATTGCCATATGATCATGGCGACAGTCGCGTGATCCGAGCTCAGCCAATGAGATCCTTCTGGGACTTTGTATCATGAACTGGTGATGGCAGGTGTGAAGAAAGATCTGGAGGTGATTCCTTGAAATGGGCACGTGTGCAGTGACTTCTACGTTCCAGTCCTGTGGAATAGTGGTGTGAAACTTGGTTTTTTTTTTTTCAGAACAGAGTCTCCCTATGTAACCCAGGCTGGAGTGCAATAGTATAATCTCAGCTCACTGCAACCTCCGCCTCCCAAGTTCAAGCAATTGTCCTGCCACAGCCTCCTGAGTAGCTGAGAATACAGGTACCCATCACTACGCCAGGCTAATTTTTGTATTTTTAGTAGAGATGGGGTTTCACCATGTTGGCCAGGCTGGTCTTGAACTCCTGACCTCATGATCCACCGACATTGGCCTCCCAAAGTGCTGGGATTACAAGTGTAAGCCACCACACCCAAACTACTGTGAAACTTTTGAGCCAAATTCCCAACATCTTTCCTCTAAAGCCCCTTTGGACAGTCTCTGTTGCTGGCAAAAAAGGAATTCTAAGTGATCAATCCCACACGATCCTCCTTCAGGCAGCTGGAAATCCATGAATCACCACTTAAAAGTCCACTCATTCATAATGAACATCATATATGAACAAGTATGCCCTCTGAGCAGTTTTCAGTCAGTTTTTGAAATCGCTATTTCTATGGTTTTCCTGTGATCTGTCACATTGGAAATAAGACTTTAAGTGAGGATTGTATTTACTGATTTCTCATTTCTTAACCCTTATGGCGTAAACAATATGCATCTGAAGAAAGGTAGACAAACCGGCATTTAGTATTTTATAATTCTGTCCCATTTATACTGAACTCACCACTATGAATATTTTTGTGTGCCTTATTTTTCTCCTTTAGGAAACTGGGCCAGTATTTTGTGTCTCTGTTGATGTGAACTTTTTGCTTTCTTCCTGACTTCCCAAATATTTTAGAAAAATCTGTGATTGCAATTGTATCTTTGAAAAAAACAAGAAAACCAAACAAAATTTAAGCTCTTCTTGCAGCTCCTTTTCTGGAAAATCACCTTAGATTGGTTAATGTATTTAATTTTTCCTCAGACAATTTTCTTGGTACTGCTATTCCTACACTGAATATATATTCATTCCTACTGTAACTTTTCTCAGAAAAGATGGACTTCTAGGGGAAGCTGATTGTGTAGTTGGCAGCTACCATGCTGTTTCTCAAGGAGGGGCCCTTTCTGTCCTGTTTTTGCTTTTCTAACCATAGCTGAGTCTTTTAGACTTTTGGGGCTTAGCTCTCACATTTGGGATGAATAGATGTAATCTTTTTACACTTAAACCCCCTTAGAACCAAGAAAACCTGTAAAAATAACAAAGAACTGCTAAAACCTGGCAATAAGTTCCAAACGGGGCTCTGCTGTCACAGTCATCACGCCAAGGGAATGCTTTAGGAATAAAACTTGAATTACTCAGTTGAGAGGAAGCAGAAATATGAAACTATCACTGGGTGATCATGACGGTACTTAGTCTTCTCAATGTTAGAATGGAAACATGACGGAAATTAGTTGTTTTATTTTATTTTCCTCTTAAATCCGATTTTATCAATAAGTGGTTTTCTTGTTCTGAATTTCATGGTTTAGCAATCTTTAGTGCCAGAATGATTTTTCCTTAGGAGTGTGGACATAGGTGCTATTATTTAATTTGTTAAATATTAAAAGTAATTTCATCCCATTTATAAAAGATAACGTTTGGGGAAATGCAGCATTTCAATCTGTTACTAAACTTTTGTGCTCTGAGACTGTAACTGAATAAGGAGCAGAGCAATCCTGAAAGCTTTGACACGGTCTACAAAAGGTTTTCCTTTGTGGAAATAGTGAAAACAAATCCAGACCTAACTAGATTTTGAGAGCTCCATCATTTATGTATCTTTCCTGGGCAATCGGGTAAATTATTCTTTTATGCCCTTGGATGAGGCATCTAGTATATTCCTCAAAGAAGCTGAAAAAAATTACATTCTGAGGAGATTTTATGAGGCTCTGGCTTATCACACGGTCGGCTCCTGCAGTTGAATAGTGAGAAAATGGACTTACCTACCGTCACAGCAATTATCGAAATACAGATAGCCACGTAACCTTGACACTTGCAACATTTCTGCCCAACAAAGCATCAATAGCAATTTATTCAGAGAGTGATTGAAAATAAACACTAAATAAATAAACAAAAATATAAGAGAGAGAATTCCATACCTAAGCTAATATTTTAATTTGGCCTTCACAGTAGCTTAATGTCTTCATGGTGTCTTAAATATATACATAAAGAGGAAAAGTCAAATCACAAAGTCTTTCTTAAGAAGCAACTAAATAAATATATGAAATTGAAAGACCCTGGTTATAAGGGAAAAGGCCTGTCTCTATTCCTAAAACAGATTTGCAGTTTCTGCCATGAGCCTGCTCACCTACATGATTCTTCGCAAGGTCACCTGCTTCTGAAACCCTGTCACACTTTGGGGCTTCTTTAGTTTTCTTTCTGACAAACATGACTTTAGTGAAGTTTCAGCTTGGCTCATATGATCATTGAGCAATGAAAGAACTTGTCTTTTTAAGGGAAAATAACATATAAAACACACATAGCCTGGGGAGAAATGCCAAATGTGGGTGAAGGGGAGAAGAAAAGCAAAGCACACTGCCATGTGTGTACCTACGCAACTGTCTTGCATGCTCTGCTCATGTACCCCAAAACCTATAATCCAATAAAAAATTAAAAAAAAAAAAAAAAAAAAAAAAAAAAAAAAAAAAGAAAAACCTATACATTTGGTTTCTAACTTGATTACAGAATTTAGCTCTGCATCATGATGCAGTAATTTTGACAATTCAATTTGTAATCTGATAACGTCAATGTGGGGATATGGACATTTGGGACTGCATGTGTGTGCGTTAATGTGCATTTGTGAGCTGTCTAGAGTGTCAAGAAAAAAAAGAAAGAAAACCAAATTCATCTCTGATTCGTAAAGGTCAGTTTGCCTACCAAATTTTCTTTGGCCTCCCTGAATCGTAATTAACGGTGCCACATTCACTCTCCAGGGATTGATATAAAGCATAAATCAATATTCTCGGGAAACTGCCACCAGTGTTTTCGCAAGCACTGTTTTCACAGACATAGTGAGTAAATCAGCCAGCAGACTTAGGGAAATTATGTTCCTTTGCATAACCTTTCTTTTTTTTTTTTTTTTTTTTTTCAGACTTAGTCTTGCTCTGTGGCCAGGCTGGAGTGCAGTGGTGTGATCTCGGCTCACTGTGCAACCTCTGATTCCCTGATTCAAGCTATTCTTCTGCCTCAGCCTCCCGAGTAGCTGGGATTACAGGCACCTGCCACTGCATCCAGCTAATTTTTGTATTTTGAGTAGAGACGGGGTTTCACCCTATTGGTCAGGTTGGTCTGGATCTCCTTACCTCGTGATCTGCACACCTCAGCCTCCCAAAGTGCTGGGATTACAGGGGTGAGCCACCATGCCTGGCCTGTACAACCTTCTTTAAGGTCGAACAAGAATATCATCCCAACATTTCCAGTAAGGTTTATTGCAGAGTGCTGCGATTTTGTGTTCTTCCTATTCCTAGGTGATTATTTCTTATCAGCCTATTTTATAATCTCTCTATTTGGAGAAAGAAGATCTCAACCTGATTTTTACAACTGGTGGAGTTGTGCAGTTCATCTTCATCAGCTTGGTGCCTGCCACTGACGAGGGTGGCAAAGTGAGACGAAATTTAGAATATGGTAGAGAACGAACATGGAAGGGCGCACGAACAGAATTCACTTAAAAGTTGCTTCACATAAATTCCTCAGACGAGGGTTCTCACTCTATTGGAGTGTAATTCTATTATTGCTAAATAAGATTTTCTATTTTTGAAAAATTCAGAATTTGCTTAAAAATAGAAGTAGCAGGCCAGGTGCAGTGGCTCACGTCTGTAATCCCAGCACTTTCAGAGGCTGAGGCTGAGGCAGGCAGATCACGAGGTCAGGAGATTGAGACCATCCTGGCTGACACGGTGAAACCCCTTCTCTACTAAAAATACAAAACCTTTGCTAGCGCCTGTAATCTCAGCTACTTGGAAGGCTGAGGCAGTAAAATCGCTTGAACCTGGGAGGTGGAAGTTGCAGTGAGCTGAGATCATGCCCCTGGACTCTAGCCTGGTGACAGAGTAAGACTTCATCTCGAAAAATAATAATAATAATAAAATAAAATAAAATAAAATAAAAGTCACAGCAGAACATGTCAGGAATACCAGATTGTTTAACCACATAAAATGGAAATAAATCTTTAGGGCAAAATGACAAAGCATAGAGGGTGGCATTCAGGTACCCCGAATCCCACGATGATGCGTGCTTAGGATGAGTCATGCCGTTTCTCAAACGTGGTTTACTGTCGTGTTCTCACACGGTCTTTTATCGAAGGTTTCCACCTGCCAACTCAGAAACCCAAATCATGCTTTCGTGCAATCAGAGCCCAGCTCTTACCATCACCACCTCTTCCAGCTGTTGGTGGTGAGAAGCAGGGAGAGCCTTTCTGAGACTGCCCTGATAGCCCAGGTAGTGGCCGAGGCCAGCAGCAACCACAGGCTGCCTGCTAGTGTCCATTGTTTCCGTGTGGTTTGGCTTCCAGCAAATTTTTCTGACCATCTAACCCATTAACTTTGGTAGTGGATGGATGCATGGGCTAAATCTGGATTATTCGTTCACTTCTTTTTGACTCCTGGGAAGTTCAGCATAGAGTTAAAGGGAGATTTTACCTGTGATTAGACATTGGTTTATGTTAGCACTTTAAAGAGTTCGTAAATTTTCAAAAGGAATTAAATACAATCACTATAAGTAGCATTCAAGCATTGCTTATATGTCTGCTTATATTTCTGGATTCATAGAGTTCCCAGGGATTTGAAGTCCTAGAAAGAAGTTGAGCTCTGCCACTCTGGCTTGTCGTTGAATGTCACCCAGACAGAGCTAGATGATGACATTTTAACAGACTTGACAACTGTGGATTTGACTTAAAGGTGAGTCTGTCTTTGTTTTATCACAGATTCTACATCTGCAAGACTAAGTTGAAAATATTGCCTGTTTATATTGTTCATGCTTCTAGAATCCATGGAATAAGTGAGTTTGGATCTAAAACAACCACTAATCACAGTCGTGGTTCTCAGAACAATTATGTGGATCCTGATCTATTTTTATCTTCGTTTTAACTCACTGTGTATATACTTTTATGTAGATGGTTTCAGTTCCTTACTGGGGGGAATGTTTGTAATACACATTATAAATAAATATTCTGAAATTTAATATCTAAAGAACTGTTATTAAATATTAAGATGTTTAAGGTCCTTTTATTATAAACAGGGGCGCTCATCCCCCAGACTATGGACCAGTACCAGCCCCTGGCCTGTTGGGAACTGGACCACACAGCAGGAGGTGAACGGTGGGTGAGTGAGAGAAACTGCATGTGTATTTACAGCCGCTCCCCATCACTGCCATCACCGCCTGAACTCTGCCTCTTGTCAGATCAGCAGTCGCATTAGATTCTCACGGAGGAGCAGACCCTATTGTGAACCATGCACGTGGGGGATCTGGGTTGCAGTCTTTTTTTGAGAATCTAATGCCTGATGATCTGTCACTGTCACCTGTCACTCCCAGATGGGACTATACCTGCAGGAAAATAAACCCAGGGCTCCCACTGATTCTACATGATGGTGAGTTGTATAATTATTTCATGATATATGACAATGAAATAATAATAGAAATAAAGGGCACGATAAATGTAGTGCACTTGAATCATCCTGAAATCATCCTCACCCCCACCCCCAACCCCTGGTTCATGGAAAAATAAACCAGTCCCTGGTGCCAGAAAGGATGAGGACTGCTGGTATAAAGAGACAGCCAATGCTGTACTAGTAGTTACATGCATTTGTCTTAGATCCGTCATGTGGAATGCTATGCAACCTTCAGAAGTAGAGATTTCAGTAATTTAGTGCCACTGTAATAGGGCCACTATACAATATCCAACACAAACAATACCCATGTAGACTTATCTCTTGAAATCTATCTTGAAAATACATCTTACATGTATGGAAAGATAAGAAAATACCTCTCAACATGTTAATAATAACTTGTGGGTAGCAAGACTAGCTATGGATAAATTTAATATCTATCTTAAAATGTTCCACATTTCTAAACATTAAACAATGAGCTTTTATAGTGAGAAGTAAATTAATAATCTGAGAACAATTTATGGCAAAAGTTTGGTTTCCATTCACCAATTACTAATGAAATTGTATGTGAGAGTTGTCTATCTTCATCCTCATTATAAGGCCTCCTTGTAACCTCAGGATTTTGTTTCTAGGAATATTGTGAAATGAAAGGAAATTTAAATATCTTCAGTGGGTAATCAAATGGTATACATGTGTTGGGATTAATGTTTTTTAAGCTTAAAATAATACAAATAGATATTTTATTAAGACAAGACTGTTATGCTTATAGAAGCTTCTGGTACTGGTCATAACAATAGTCTGCGGTTCTCAAATGAGGTAAAAGATCTTGTGAAATACAGACACTTTATCACATCAGAAAGGATCGTAATGGCTCCATCGTTTACTCTGGGTAGAATAGGCGTAGCGTTTAATTTATCCCTGCCTGTAGAGAACAGGTGGCCGTATTCCAATTCTGCAAGCACGCCGGAGGAGGATGATACAATGTATACATCCTTCGCAAGTTTTCCTTGGGCAGGTGTGTTATTAAGGTCTCAGCAGGAAGCGGCTGAGTGGTGCAGAAAATGACTGTTGATGAAGCTGTGGGTGGGGTAAAAAAGTCAGAGGGTTGGGGCACTGGTGGCCTTTGAGGGAAAGCAGAGAGGAAGGTCTTGCCCCTCCTCTGCTTGGGCTAGAACAAGTGCAGGGAGCAGCACCGGCTGCACCTTGGAGCAATGCGTGGGGAGGAACATCCAACGACCCCTTCAGCAGAGCACTGAAGCCAGCTCTCAGGCAATGCAGCCGGTAGCATGAACATCCTGATTTCACTTTCCTTTCAGATTTCTGCCTGATGTCCCTACTGACCTGACTCAGCTGGAAGCTAGTCCAGACAAAGAAAGTGAGAAATGGGGCAGAGAGGCTCTGGACGGGCAAGCTGAGGTTATCTAGCACAATGAGAACACGGGGTAGCGTAAACCAACCGGTAAAATGAATGTCTTAATTGATAATGCAAGCAAAGAAAGTTTTTCTTTTCTTCCTCAAGACATAGTCCAATGAAGCTCAGCAGGAGAGAAGGTAGGCAGTGACTACTCTTTATCCAGTGTCTCCACCACTCCTCAATGCCTTAGATGGGTTTTTATACCTTGCGTTTAACCAGAAGAAAGTGAAGAGTGAGTGTGGGAGTTAATGCGGGAATCTTCACAGGGTTGTCTGGCTGCAGTAGTGCACACCGCATCCTCCCACATTCTACCAGGCAGTGCTCATGGCCACACCTCCCCACAGGGTGGCCTGGGAATGGACATCAGCTGTGAGTGGAGGGCAGAGAGCCTGCTCCCCATACGTCCAGACAGTCTTCAATAGTGGGGCTGGAAGACCATGGCAATAGTAGGGCTGGAAGATTTATTTGGGTGGATTAGGCAAGGCAAATGAACATTAGGATGAATCTTGGTAGAAAACAAAAACTTCATCAGGGAAAACAATCAAGACTTGGCTCAGGCTAGTGTTTTCTAAATAATTTTTGGTCCCACATCTGCATTAGTAGAAAAATGTAGAATCCCCATGGATGTGTATGTGTGTGTATGTGTGTATGTGTTTCTGTACTGACATTTGTGTATAATACATGAGATGTGTCTATCTATCTATTCTAAATAAAAAGAGGAAGTGAAAATGAATGACACTGAAACTGATCGTATGAATGAGACTGAAACTTTCTACTCTGCTGCGTTGACCTCATTGTGTGCCCCATAGTGCTTGGGCCCCCCACTTTTGAGGTCACAGTTTATTGATAAAGGAAAAAAAAACAACTAAGGTGTATAGCAATGAACAAGTAGAATTTGAAATTTAAAATACAGTACGATTTAAATTAGTACCTCCTGAGATAAAACACTTGGGTGTAAGGCATGTTTTTATGGGGCAGTAAGCGAGAGAGTGTGTGCAGGAGAACTGCCCTTTATAAAACCATCAGAACTTGTGAGACTGGTTCACTATCACAAAACGGCATGAGAAAGCCCAGCTTCCACGATTCAATTACCTCCCACCAGGTTCCTCTCATGACATGTAGGGATTGTGGGAGCTATAATTCAAGATGAGATTTGGGTGGGGACATGGCCAAACCATATCAGGGGACTAGGAGGTATATGGAAAAATCTCTATATTTTTGTTTCAATTTTGCTGTAAAACTAAAACCACTCCAGTAAATAGTGAAAGCATAACCAAACAAACCCCCCCCCAAAAAAGGTGTGAGAGTAGAGACGAGAGTGTGCTGGGGAGCAGCGACTGGAAGCAGAGCTGGCTGGTGCAGGGACGCCACCATGTGCTCCTGTCCTTATCCGCCAACATCTGCCTCATGGCCCCTTTGCCATAGAGCTCTCTCCATCTGTTTCAGTAAATACAGGCAATGAACATTTCACCAGGAAAAGAGAGGGAGGGGGGACTGTGGATAAGTACTCAGGGTCACCTTTACAAAATGAGTGACGCAGTGTGAGTATTTAGTTCTGAGGTCTCTGTTCCCTGACCAGTCTGTTCTAAAGGGCTTCCCTCATGGGACTGTTTGAATCTACCATTAGATGAGATGCTGCATAGGAAATGTTTGAAAAGCACCTGTCCTCAGTTGGTCCTCCATGAAGGTTCGTTACTATCATTATTAATAAAATTTCAATCTGATTGGAGCACAGAATATGTGCCATCTGTGGTGGGAGGAAACCCAGACACGCCAGATTGTAGAAAGCTTTGCTGTGGGGTGGGACCAGGGAGAAGAGGAGGAGAGGTGTGTGGCCTGGCATGAGGAAGGTTCATCTGGAAGGGCTGGCCGAAGGAGCTGAGGAGGGATGACAGGGCTGTGGGGAGACAGGAGGAGTGGTGAGGCTGAGAGGTGCTGCGGGATGGGATGGCCATGAAAGGGAGGCTCTGCTCCCGGTGGGATTGGAACACGAGCGAGAGTCAGGAGCAAAGGAGGACGGACTCTCATCCGGAGTGACTTCTGATTACCATGCTTTTAACTAACAGAGAAGTCAAGGAGACCACTGGCAAAGAAGATAATAATGCATTTGGTTCTGGGTTCATCAAGTTCTGCTGTCCTGAGAAAGAATTTTCCAAATGCTGTCCCTGAACTGCAGACTAAATCCACACCCTCGAGTGATTACTCCTGGCAGAATGTCTGATGCCCTAGAGCTCTAAATTGAGAGCCCAGCACATGCTGGGCCACACAGAGAACATGCAGGGAAACCAGGAGTAGCTGTATGGTGTGTGCATTGTTCGGCACTGTGGGGTCCATCCCAGGCAATTTTCATTTACTGCTCCTGTCCTTTACCTGAGCTGAGCTAAGTTATAAAGCTGGAGAGGAATGCAACATGCCCAGGCCTGCAGCACTCAGACAATGAGCCCAGATCCGTCTCTCTAAAGGTACCGTAGCAGATGCTCTGAAATCAGCATTTGATGAAATGTGCTGTTATTAAGCCAGAGAAGGTCCCCCCAGTAAGTGCGATTATCACGCACACACTTGAGGCTTATTTTAACAATAGCCACATAGGGTACTTTCTCAAGTAGATTTAGTAATAATAATGGAGCCCTAGAAAAATGGGTTACCAACAGTTTAAAATGAAGGATTTACTTCTACAGTGCCTCGTGTGGATCCAAATTAGTATTCTGTGCTCATCTTTCGCATGGAGAGAGTCGAAGTCTTTCATGTGTAAAACCTGATGATCAAGGGCAGATCTTTTACTGGCCCTGGCGTAGGATGGAAAGGAGGCTTCACATATGGTTTCATCACTGTGAGACCATGGGAAAAAGATCTTCACTGCCTTTTATTTCATTGCACCCTGACATTTTTGACACTTTTTAAAATTAAAATAGAAATGTTTTGAGATTCAAGCTGTCATTAAATCATGTGTTTTATTTGGATGAAATGTTATCCTTCCAGTGGGAAAAAAAAACACTTTCAGAATTTTCACCCCCGATCCTAGATTGGATAGAGTTAGTAGGAAAACAGTAATCTTTGAATAATTGACTTTATTCAAAATAAGCTTCTGGAATGTTTGGGTAAAGGGAAAGTTGGCCCATGACTACCCCTAAATTAAAGGTAAAACAATTATTCCAGTTCCTCCAAATATTTTTTTTAAGCAGCACCACATTGTCACTGCCACGATGCTTCCCGATTCTCCAGATTCCAGGTGTCTCAGAATGGCCAACGTCTAAAATGTGATGGACTCCATATTGCTGGTTATATGAAGGTGTCCTCCTGTGCCCAGATTTCCATAACAAAATGCTGTACACTGGGTGGGATAAACAACAATCTCCTTTCTTACAGAGTCAGAGGCTGGAAGTCCCAGTGTAGTTGGCTGCTGGGGAGGGCTCTCTTTCTGGCTTGCAGACCGTCACCTTCTGGCTGTGTCCTCACAGGATGGAGAGAGAGCAAACAAGCTCTCTGGTCTCTTCTGGTAAGGACACCAATTCCATCAAGAGGACTGCACTCTCGCGACC